CAATCAACAAAAAGTCTTCTTTATGAACCAGCATTGAAACGTACTATTCAAGTATTTATGAGAAAATTACTGTAAAGAATTTATATATATTAAATTTTATTAAATAATAATTTTAATAACTTGTTTTTTGTTTTCTTTTAGTGTACAATTACTTGTTGAATTACCACGTATTGGTAGTACAACAATATATGGAAATTTAAATAAAATTATTTTAGCAACAAAACGTTGGTCACTTATTGATACACGTTTATATATTAAAGTTATACTTGAACATTTACAATTAAAGGATTTAATATCAACAATATGTTCAGAATTAATATCAATTTATCATTGCTTATGATGGTTTGATGATAAAAATTATTGTGGATTTCGTATATGGTCAAATATAACAGGACAACATTGTTAATATTGATAATAATGATGAAGAAGAAACAAGTTTTGATTGGAATATGATTGTTTATTTACAAGAAGTTGTTCAAGATTATTTTGAAACAATTATGTAAGCAAATTTTATTTATTTATAAGGATTCGGTAGAATAAATTTTCAATTTAAGCCAGTGTCATGCAATTCAGATATGATTTGTATTGAGAATATCCTCAATAAAAGCTTTTTAGTTAGGTGTAAGAATGTTGAGTTAATTGACTTTTATGTTTAGAGTAGACTAGTAACTGTTGTGTTGAACACAACTGAGTTTAATGCAAATGCAACGAATCAATTTGAGTATGATCTCATAACTAGATCTAAATTGATAATGAGAGATTTTGATGTTTGATAGATATGAATATTTGCACCCTCATACTAGCCCAAAAAACCATGTCAATGAAAGTGCCATAATTTGTGAGAGAGCCGCTCTAACAAGAAAAACACATTTATTTTGATAAAATCTCCTCAAGATATTCTAAGAACAACTAAATTTATTTGCTAGTGAAATTTCAAATGAAAATTCTTGAATTGAACGTTTTCGAAAAATCTGATTATAGGTCAAAAATTTAATAAAATTTATTTATATAATTTCTTTTACTAAAATGTCTTAGCCAGTTATCCTCTTAGGATTTTCTTAGTCTCATTCATAGCTATTTCTACTCATGAGATAGAATAATAACTTGTGAGAAGTTAGAACGGCTCTTATATGAATTATACGAGGTTTATTAAAAATGATTTGTCTGTTACTGAAAAAGCGATCTAATCAAATCTATTGAAAGAAGTCGAATTAGTCAAATTCTCTTGAACTTTCGCTTTGAATAATGCTCTGAATTGGCTCACAAAATATCAACGAAAATGGTGTAGGTTAATTGGAGTTTTTTCTGCGTCAAGTGGTTTAATCTAGTTTCACTAAATTAAACTGTCTATTTGACTGTGAGTCTTAGTTAGTAATGTGAACAGATGTTCAAAGATAACAAAAAATCATAACATTTTCGAAAGATTTCAAAGGTCATTGAATCTGCTTTTTTTTCTCATAACATAATGACTCACAATGAAAGTAAAAATACTATTTAAAATGAGCAACACACAAGAATAAAGAACGAAAATATTTTTTATCTAATCTTTCATTTTAAACATTTGGTTCAATACATATTTAATATTTGTACGTGTAGGATAAATAAGTAATGAATCAGATTCATTGTAAACTGTATATGGTATTTTTCTGTTATTTTTCTTTTATGTCGAGGTATATAGAACGTGACTATGTTGTATTCTTTTCTTTCTCCTTTTCTGTTTAAGTTGTTTGTTTAGTTAAAATAGCCTTAACATCGAAATCCATATCATCTCAACATAAGCGGCTAATTTTGTTTATGTATGATTCTGATATTATTTATTATTCTTGTAGATTCGACAAAATTTTAAACAATTAAAATGGTAGCAAATACGAACTCTAACATATTCATTCAGATGGCAAAATCAGCGCAACAACGATTAGGTAGAACAGACTTCGTTTATCCATTAAGTTGTGTTTTTAAAATATCTGGACCCGATAGAACTACAACTAATTATGAAGTTATATATGAACGTAAAATTACGGTACAAGCGGGTATACTTAATGATGGAGTTAACCTTCATTTAAATGTATTAACTCGACAACAACAACATTATCGTCTTGCAGCAACTGCTGAAGATGGTCAACATATTCGGTATATTCCATTTTCGCCGAAAAAATTTTTCGCCGAAGACGAATTTCGCCGAAAAGAAATTCGCCGAAAAGAAGTTCGCCGAAAAAAAAGTTCACCGATTCTATTTTCGCCGAAAGAACTTGGTCACCGAAAAAATATAAGTTGAGCTCGATCATGCATATAACAATTCTATTGAGACAATTAATCGATCNCCGCGGTTTTGAGCGGTTTTAAAGAAACGCATAGATGGTCTGACTCCCGGCATCTGAAAATACCGGCCAAAACCGCGGTTTTTAATACCGTTGCCTACCGCGGTTTTTTTGAAAATTTTTTTCCGTGGGTACACTTTATTTTAGATTTCCATTAGAAACACTGGTTATAACAATGACAATCAATCATTAAGAAGTATCAAAAAAATACACTGTTCTTTCTTTTTGTTTATTTTCTTTCAAAAGACGAGAAAGTTATTTGATTATTTTAGATTAGATTGCTTTTTAATCATAACGGCCCAGACTGTGGTTCGTGGACGTGAGTTTTTGAATTTAAAAATTATTCAGTTATTAATAAAAAAATTTCTCAGGTTTTGATCAAGCTTCATCACATGTACAATGGTTGGTTATTCGTAATAATTCATTATTTTTACAAAAATGAAAATTAGGCACATTTACAGCTGTTTGTTAATTATTTCTTTTCTCATACATTTCAAATTTATTATTTATTTAACGAACCAAACAATTTAAAAGAATCGTAATATATTCCGTTCTAACGGTCTTATTCATTGAAAAGTTGTCGGTGTTGTTTTCACAATTGGCACTGTTAAAAGTAAGATCCGATTTCTTCTTTTTTGTATTCAATCCATTTATTTAGATGTGAGAAAACCAGCTAAACGTTTTTATAAGACTAAACATGTCAAGGAGTCACGTCGTACATGAACAAGTATTCGACGAACAATTCATAAACAACGCTATCGTAAAGATCATAAGATGGTTAGTTTATATGGAATAGTTCGGAATAAAATTTTAAAAAAATTGATTTAGGCTGCTCTTCATCGAGCATCAGCATTACTTCATGATCAACGATTATCTTTAAAAATTGGCACACCAATCACAATAACAACAACTGATACTATACGAAATCGAATTTTATCTTATATTATATCATATATGTATATATGTCTTTGTCCATTAGGTATATTATGTTGTTTATATCCATTAGAATGTCATATTTATTTGTTAAATATATTGATATATACATTAGCAAATTTACCGTTATTTTTATCGATATTAGTATCAATATTAATAACAATAATTATAACAATTCTAACATTAAAAAAAAAGTGATTTTATTATTATTGTTAATATTGAATTTATTTGGAATTTATTTAAATCGTCTTTTGGATATAACAATGCGTTCAGCATATAATCAATAATGTACAAGTAAGTTTTTATTTGCATGAAAAAAAAAATTTTTTTTATATTAAAATAGATGCAAATGTAAATGATTCATTAATGCCACATAAATATGCTAAAGTAATAATGGAAGATTTTGATGTATTTCGTGAACGTGTACAAAATTTGAATATGTCACAACAAGGTGAAGATGAGTTACAACTGCCTGTTTTTCGTCCATTACATATTGAAAGAATGAAAAATGTTTCGATTTTATTTGCTGATATTGTTGGTTTTACTTCAATGTCATCAAATAAAAGTGCATCACAATTAGTTTCATTATTATCGGATTTATATGGACGATTTGATATGTTATGTGTGCAAATGTCTTGTGAAAAAATCGCGACATTAGGTGATTGTTATTATTGTGTAAGTGGTTGTCCTGAACGACGAGAAGATCATGGAAAATCTTGTGTTTTATTGGGTTTAGGAATGATTAATGCTATTGAAGAATTTGATCATGATAATAATGAACAAGTTGATATGAGAGTTGGTGTTCATTTAGGTTCAGTTAATTGTGGAATTGTTAGAACAAAAAAAATATAAGTTTGATATTTTTTTCAAATGATGTTACATTAGCTAATAAAATGGAATCGACTGAAAAACCGGGTAAATTAAATCAATTAACACGTATTCTTTTTTTTTTAATTTATTTATTCTTAAAGATTCTTTTTTCATTCCCCAAAATTAATATAAATATAGAATACGCTCTTTGCTCGCTTAATTATTATTTTTCATTCATAAATTTAATATCTTAATTTAGGTTTTGTTCATATTACTGAAGCAACTCATTCATTACTTAAAGCAGATGAATTTTAATTTGAAAAAGGTCCATCATTTATTTTACCAAGCAATGATTAGTATATAAAAAAAATTTTTTTTTGTAAATAAAATTAATTTCGTTGAAATTGAAACATATTTTATTGGAAAACGACATCTAAATCATCGAATAACACAAAAACCACCACAAATGACATAAGCAACTGCTGCAGCTGTTGCTGTAGCAGCAGAAGTTTCTACTTTCTGTTCTTTTAAATGAAGCTACATTCCAAATCAATCGATACAACAGTAAGTTTATTTTATTGATTAAAAAAAAAACATGAAAATTCTATTTAAAGGCGGTAACAAGTCCGTTATTAGAAGAAGTTATACAAGCTTGGCGTGCAACAATATGTGAAGAAGAAATTCGAAAAAGATTTAGGAAATATTGAACATGTTAGTGAAACAAGATTTGAAAATGAAGAAAAAGACTTAGTTATGGCATTTAGTATATTAACATTAAAATATAAAAATAGTCTATTAGAAGAAGGTTTTTATGCTCATATTGGTCGACATGAATTATTAATTGTCGAAGTTATTTTATCAATATTATCTATTTTACTTATTTATCTTTATTTTACTAAAGATACATGTACATCAATAATAATGGGAATAATTATTGGTATAAAATTTATTTTAACATTAATTTCAATATGCTTTCATCATACACTTAATTGGTGGATTTTAAGATATTTTATAGCTTTTTTTTTTATCTTTTATCACCTTTAGTTATTATTTTAATTCAATATTCTGAATATTATCCAAAAACTTTGCCAGCTTTTATTCTTTTTATTTCAACTTGTCTTATCTTTGGTGGATCTATATCTCATTTGATCAAAATTCTTATAACCATTTTATCTATTTCAATTTATCTTCCTTTGATTATTTTTACAAAACAAATTTCAAGTTTGTTTAAACAAAAAGAAACAAATTAATAAAGTTTTTTTTATTTGACTTTTTTTCTTTTAGCATCAATTATTGTGGATCTATGTGTTTGTAGATTAATTTCATTGATAGTTCTATATGGAATAAGTCGTCATGTAGAAGTAGTTCGTCGTTATCAATATCGTGTTGTTCATAAGTCGTCCGAACAAAGAATTGAAATAGAAAAAGAACGTGATCGTGCTAATTGGCTTTTAAGAAATATTTTACCGAAACATGCTATTGAGCCATTACGTCTCCATCGTGGTTCATATTCTCATAATCATCCATGCGTTGGTGTTCTTTTTGCATCATTAATTAATTATCATGTTATGTATGAAGAACAATATGAAGGTGGAAAATTTTATTTAAGAATTTTAAATGACTTTTATGGAGATATTGAAGAATTATTTCTTGATCCAAGATTTTCAGAAATTGAAAAAATTAAAACAATTGGAACAACATTTATGGCCGCATCAGGTTTACAAACAGATGAAAATGATCAAAATCCACTTGGTAAAATTTCTATTTTAATTAAAAAAAAATATTTAAATAAATATTTAAGGATCTGTTTGTGATCTTGTTGAATTTGCTTTAGCATTTGAGACAACAATGAATCGATTTAATGAAACACTTTTAAGTTTTGCATTTGAACTTTGAATCGGTTTGAATTTTTGACCAGTTACAGCTGGTGTTATTGGTACAACGAAGATTATTTTATGATATTTAGGGAATACAGTTAATGTTGCTTCAAGAATGGATTCAACTGGTAAAAAAAGAAAAATTCAAGTTCTGGAACATGTACGATTAGCTTTAAAAGACAAATATAAATTTGAATTACGAGGAAAAATTGATGTTAAAGGAAAAAGTCGGATGAAAACATATTATCTTAAACCAAAATAAACATTGAACAGTAATTAATGTATCTATAGAATAGAATCTTTCTTTTTCTTTGTCATATTAATAGAAAAGGCAATTATATTGAATTATTTCATCAACCAACTTTATTCAAAAAAATAAGAAGGTTTTTGTTTTTGTTGTGATTTATTTCTTTGAAAAAATGAATGAGATTTATCATGACTTTTATTTCAATATTTGTCCCTATACAGACGTACTCCGTATGAAGAAAAAAAATTTATGAAATTGTTTTCTTCTAGATTAATGTCCGGTGGATCAGCAACATCGTCAGATAATATGGATACGGATAATATTCGTACAGATAATATTCGTCGAGATGAAGAGTGGGTAATTGGTGGAATTTTCCATCTAGTAAGTTTCAATTTTATTTATTCTCATTGTGATAAAATAAAACCAAGAAAAATTTCTTTTAGTTATTGACGTTTCTTTTTGTTAATTGTAGATACCACCAGCAGAATATATCAGAAAATGTACAAATTCAAAATATCTACTGGTTACATTAGTGACCATCTTCATTATATATGTGTCCATGATCTTAATATGTGGTAGTTTTATTCAATATCCTGATTCTCAACAAGTTCCAGATGAATTATTACAAGAGAATCTCAACAAACTCGGAAACTTGCTCATCAAACTTGCCAGAGATAACTATAATTGTTTCTATTGCTTGTCGACTCACTCATCTTTCGAAGAAGTCAAAGACATGGGCGAAAAAGTCCAATATCAAGTTGCAAAAGAAACTGCATATAAAAAAACGAGAAATGTATACAATATTCTTGCATTTTTGAACATTATAATGGTTTTCATGATTTTCGGCGGGCCTTTGTTGATCAGCATCACCTCTATAATTAACTCTTTATTTATATGTTTATCTATGTTTTTGGCTGATTCAATCATGATTTTTCTTGAAGGCTTTATCGCTATAACATCAGCAGTCATATTCTTAAAGGTGTTCATAGTCATGACTATGGCGGTTAATAACTCTGATCGTCGTAAACGACAATAAACAATTTTTGAGAATATAAAAAAGACTTTTTTTCTCTTAAAAAATAAAAACGTTGAAAATTTATACTTCATTTTATTTTAGTTTTAGATAAAATTCTTCTTGCTTAATGTCGTCTTACTCTGATGCATTACCAAGAAATACATGGAGTACAATTAATTTTGGTAAATAATAGATAATTATTTTAAACTGAAATGATGAATTCTCGATTGTTATTCTAGAAATCAAATTAAAAAGAAAATGGTTTGGTCAAATGGTATGTATTTCTCCAGGAGAAAAGAAATTCTATTAATTGTTTATTTATTTGTAGCAAATACAACCTCTCGATTTTTTGATGAACCAAAATTATGACATGATATTATTCACTGGTTTTATCTTAATTTCTTTTTATTGTGGAATATTTTTGAATGTTTATCCTATGATGATAGATATTCATTCAAAACATGAATATTTTCGTGAACAATTACAAATTGAAACAGAACAAATGAATCGACTAAAAAATGACTTATTACACCTAAAACATTATTATAGAGATGATGTAAAAAAAGATGATATAATTTGTCAAAAATGTATGTTACCTGTCTTTGATATAGATTCTGATTATATAATAAATCATCTTTTGAAAAATAATCTACCTATTAAAAAATTGTACAATGATACTTTATTACCATTACAACATGTGTTAATTCTTATTTGTTTGTTTAATACAATATGTATGACGATGATTTTCGAAAAACCAATTAAACTTTTTCTTATATCAAGTTTATTAGGAATAATATGTTTATTTATTCATGGCGAATTTTTTATTGAAGATAAACCAAACGTTTATTATACATTAATCGCTGCTATTGGCGTATTTTTATTTTCTGTTTTTTTGTTAATCAAAATACTTCTAACATTATTAAATATCATCTATTATCATACAATGAAAAACATTTTAAGAAATGAATAATAACGTTCCATCTCATGAACAATGTTCATTGGAAAAAGGCAAGAATTAATAGTTATGTAAAAACTCCCTGATTTGATTTTTCATTTAGATTTGCTAGTCAATTTCACTGATAGACTCATTAATCTCTACCTATTATTCTGTGTATTCGAATATTTAACACTTAAACATAAATAAAATAAAATATGTTTTGAATATTTTCATGTAAATATCTGTACTTGTTTCCGCTTTTTTGTTTTGCAATAAATATATACAATAATATTTTGTAAACTTAATTCAATATTATTAATTTCCTGTTTTAGTAGACTAACACATTTACATTTAATCTTTATTAAAAGTTAATATTTTGAATTCATATCAAGATTATTAATATGTATTCTTAGATAATAAGAAAGAATTGAAGAGCTTTTGAGCATTACAAATAAAGACAGGTTTAAGAAAAACAATGGTTACAACATTGGTTGCCGTCAGCAATATCAATCATGAGAATTTCGATTGCATTCGATTCTGATTCGTTAGTTACGAGAAAAAAAAATATATATTTATAGAATAATGCTGTGATATTCTCTCTGTGAAAGAAAAAGCTTCTATTTGTAGGCGACTTTTTCGTCGCGCCTTATCCTGTTCTGTCATAATTCTCATAACGTATTTCGGCTTGTCCACGTAACGTGACACTTCGCTGATCAAGTTTCGAAAAATTGTTTTTTCGAGTTGGATAGATCTGAATATATAACTAGATGTAGTTTTTAACGCTGATTACGAATTTGACATTTATTTTGTAAAAAAATTAAATTTTGGCATCGAAAACTGGGTTTTGAACTTTTCAAAAATCGTATTTTGAATTTTTTAATCAAGAAATTTCTTCAAAAAATGTCGAGACACATACCACTCGATGCTGAATTTTATTCTCTACAAAATGGCCTATTTAGTTTTGACTTTCATAGCTAAGGCCGATTTGTAGACTCTTATACAGTTTCCAACTTACTGTTCAGTTTATGAGCTCCCATGTCGATGTATCAATCTCATTCTTGCGCAGAACGATCAGCGACATAGAATAACACTTAGAAAAATCAAATCATTCCGAGCATGCTAAGTGTCTCAAAATTGGTCGACAAAAAAGTGTGTAACAGCGTTACGAAAAAACGTAAGTGTTACGTTTGTTTTTTGCATTTTTTATCTGAGCAAAAAATAGTTTAGAGAAAATCTTTTTTACTACCTAAAAGCCTGTTCGATGCTCTACAAAATTGGCTCTAGAAGCATTTCATGTGGAGAAATAGTTTCGCGAGAAATTAGAGTTTTCTCGGTGGCATTGGAGGAAAAGTTTTTTTTTATGTACAGCGTTACGCCATAATAAAAAATTTCTAGACACTCGAGACTTCAACCAAAAAAAGTCATTTTTATAGGATAAATAAAGTTTGATAAACTGCGTTGAGTGATGTTTGAACGAACTTTCTAGTTCTTAAACCTTCCGAAATAATTGAAGAAGAGAGTGTCAAAAACGTAGCAGCGTTACGTTTGGACAAGTCGATTTATTCTTCTAACATCATGTTTGTTACTCTAAGATGTTAATCTTAATTTGAGTAGGCGTAACAGAAGACTTTTTGCGTCATCTTGTATTATTTATTCTGCATTAGGAATAGAATTAGAATGATGCGTCAGACGCAAGTCATTGAGAAAAGCCATGAGGAATCACAATTAGCAAGTCTGACCCTACAACCGATGGCGTCTAGTAAAGTTTGATGAAAAAAATCGATATCTGTGCACTCTAGTATTTCCCCCATATCTGTGCCCTGTAAAAATAAAAGTAGAAAAAGTTATTTGATTTCCATTTATTAGTACTAATAAGTAAATATTTTTATCGTTTTTGTTTTACATGGATACGCACGGTTGCAGTAGGTCAGAATTTTATGTATTTTTTTTGTATCAATATCAGATGGAATTGCAGTACAACTGTAAGTTATTTGCAGGCTCATCACACTCGATGTATTCATAAAAGTCTCTTCTTTAAGCAATGTTGATTTTCACTTGGGGCTTTTGATGTGAGTGGATATGTCTGAGATGGAGATTCAGTTGAAGATATGTAGCTTGTGAAAAAGTTTTTCATAAAAGTTGTTAGACTTGCAATATACCCACACACCCTCTTTATGTTATTTAATATTCGATGAAATCATAAGTCAGCTGTTCATGTTGATGAATCAGCTGTTGTCCATGTACATGGAATACATGAAGTTGGATGGAAATTATTCAAAACGGTATTTATTTTTATAAGTTTTCTAGAGAAATAATACGTCGGAGACAAGAAAATAACAAAAACTAAAAAAATTTTTATCTTTTATTTTATTTTTATTTGCAATAACATATGACCGATCAGGGTGTGGGCGGAGTGTGGATGTTGTTCTTTTCTAGACACACCGCCACCTCCACACCCACATCCAGCATAGGCATTTTTTCCTCTCCAAGAGGTACCTGCACGATACTAACGATTCAATCATTTTGCTTAAAAGTTTTTTGGATGTTAGAGTCAACAACTATAAATATCCATGCAAAATTTCAGTTCAATCTGCTGAGCTATTCTCGAGATATAGTTGCGACAATGCGCGAAAATATTTTGATCGTGGATCTCAAGACTTTTTGTAAAGATTCAATAAAAAATCACTGGTTCAAAATTTTTTGATACGATTTGCGTCAAACACCACCAAATACCTGCCTCTATCACATATATGTAAATGAGAGAAATCTGAAGTGGTCGATTGAGCACTCTAGGTCGTAGCTTATTTGGAATCGCTCTTAGGAGAAAAATTAAATGAGCGTCTGAGTTGCAGCACGGACATCTTTCATACAGAAAGGTATTTATAAATCTGGTATTTACAAACTTGACAAATAGTTACTAACATTCTTTAATACTTGCAATATGAATCCAAATAGATCATCAACCGAAATATGAAAAGGAAAGCTTGTTTTATTCAATACTAAATGCAGCAAATTTGATGATGAAGAGAGTTAGATTTATTTAGCATCAATAATGTTTCAAAATACTTTAAATAAGGGGTGACAATATTTTTGATCACCAAAAATTTTTTTTCTGATCACCAAATTCTCTGAGATACTTTTGATCACCAAAAAAAGATACTTTTGATCACCAAATTTCTGAGATACTTTTGATCACCAAAAAGAGATACTTTTGATCACCAAATTTTGTCAGTTGAAATTGTTCATCATCTTTCGTCGGATGCTTGCACACAAATGAAACAACCTTTTCGTCAGATACAGCTTGTTGTTAAAGATCAAACAAATCATTGTATGATCAAAGCAATTAGTGGATTATCAGAGCAGTTAGCGTATGATCAAAGCAATCATTGTTCAGTCAAATGAACAATAGACAAGACGCTGAGTATATATATTGAATGGTTCATAATCATGTTTACTTGTAAAAATATTGGGACTGATGTCAGACTGGAATCTTTTATGTGTTGTCAAATCGTTGGACGAAGTAATGGTTATTGCTAAATCGCATGGTGCTTGCCAATATCGAACAAGTAATCTGAAAGATTGCACGAAATACTCCTACAAATGTAATCAATATCGAAAGTATCCACTGTGTCACTACGAACTTAAAGCAACCGTAAGAGATGAAGATCCGAACTCAATAACAATCATGTTCAAAGATATTCACAACCACGAACAACGGAACCAAACATCCCGATTACCATCTCCTGTGCGACAATCAGTCGAAAAATATGTTGGTATAGGTTTAAATGAAGCTCAAATTCGTTCGTCTATCTCAATAGATTATCCAAATATAACAGTACAGTCAATTAAATTACCATCATTAATTCAAACCAAATGGCGAAAGTCTCATCCTAAAATGTATTCGATTCATGATTTTCGAGAATGGTGTGATAATCATCGCGACGGAATTTTATCATATTCAACGTTTGTACCATTCTATTATATAAATGATGTGAATGATTTATTTGTGTTTTTTACAACGAAAAAATTATTTCAACAAATTCAATTTACCAAATTATTGCAAGTCGATGCCACGTATAAAATAACGTGGAATGAATTGCCACTGCTAGTGTTTGGTGCGTCTGATGGTAACAGACATTTCAAGCCATTTGGTGTTGCACTTATTTCCGATGACGAAAGTTCATCTTGTTTTGAACATTTATTTACGACACTTCAATCTTTTCTTCCTCCACGTTTATTACACCTGAATGTGAATTAGCAGCATTTAAATGGGTAAGCAATATTAATCGGAACACTATTCATTACTGGTACGAAAATTTTTACATCGTACCATCATCGAAAGCTCAAATGGAACCATCGGCTTGGCTGAATGCTTACTATTCTCGTCAATGGCTCACATTTAATGAATTTTTGGAATGGCAGCAATCATGCTGGATAGTTGTACCTTTGAAATCTTGCACATGTCCTGTTGGAACTAAAACCTATTCATGCAAGCATTCGGTTGGTTTGGTCGTTTTATTTAATCTGTATGAAGTAAGCGACAAAACACGTATTCAACCATTGGGAAAGCGAAAGACAAGAGGACGTCCAAAGAAAGTTAACAGAGCTTTAAATAATAAATACATTATCGATTAGAAACTAGAAGATTTCTTTGTCTTATTTTATGTATTCATATTTCTTATCTTGTTTACATTCTATGTTCTATAGAAATTAAGTGAAATAAATTTCTCAGAAATTTGGTGATCAAAAGTATCTCTTTTTGGTGATCAAAAGTATCTTAGAGAATTTGGTGATCAAAAGTACTTTTTTTTGGTGATCAAAAGTATCTTAGACAGTTTGGTGATCAAAAGTATCTTTTTTTGGTGATCAAAAGTACATTTTCCCTTAAATAAGTTTACTAGTTATTTAATTACCAATTCGAAATAATAAAAGACTTTTTTCTTCTCAATATCTTCTGGAAATTTTGTATCAGAAATATTTTATTTATTGGAACCAGCTTTTAAATCTGTTCAAACAGACTATAGAACCTAATGTAGAGCAAACTTTTGTTACTTGAAAAATTTTTAAAGACGTAAGTCTTTTCAACCAAAAAATAATCGCACTATTTTAATGAAACGTTTTCGACAAATTATTTCTATTTTGAAAAATATGAGATATTTATCATTCTACTCTGAAATATGGTACTACCAAAACTGATCAAGAAACAAAAAATTGCGTTTTTAGTTTTTTTTTTTTTGTAAAGAAAAATAAGTGTTTATAAATGATAGCTCTTATAGAGAGTATTGCTAATGTTACATTGTTGAAGTTGAGCGACAACACATAACATATGAGAAAAAGATTTAACATGGAATACGATCCGATTGAATTAAGAAGAGACGGATCAGTTACATTCATTTTTGTCGGTAGCATGTGAATGTAGGCCTTGGGCCCAAACAGACTAGAAAAAGTGAATTAAGTTAATTCTGAATTAACCAATCACATTACTTAATTCAGAATTAACTTAATTCACTTTTTCTAGTCTGTTTGGCCCCGAACAGACTGAAAAAAATAAAACAAATTAAGCAACGTGATTGGTCTATTTCGATTTAAATCGTCTTTTTGAGACGATTTATTCGTTAATTCTGTTTTAATTCACTTTGACTTAGTCGGTCTGTTCAGGGCCTTTGGGCCCCTTGTTTCCACTAGAAAATTTAATACCGAATTAAGAAACTTGATTCGTGGAAAATTTAATTCTCATTTAATGCACTTTCAAAAGCGCATTAAATTTAATGCGCTTTCGAAAGCGAATTAAAGTTAATGCACCAATCAAAGTCTCATTAGGTTCATGTACTCCAATTGAATTAATGAAAGCGACATTTTTTTCTAGATTCTGATTGATGCATTAAGGCCCTGAACAGACTGAGAAGAATGCATTGACTTAAAGTTGAATTAAGCAATATGATTGGTGTTTCTACGTAACAACAGAAATTATATTGGTTAATTCAGTTTTAGCTTGTTCAGTTTGTTTGGGGCCTAAGGCCCCAATCACGCTAAAAAAGATACAACAAAATCAGCGACACGATTGGTCTATTACGACTTAAATGATCTTTTTGAGACGATTTATTCGTTAATTCTGTTTTAATTCATTTTGAATTAGTCGGTGTGAATTCGGCCTAACTGTTCAAGTGTAGACACGCATGATTTTAATACGAAGTTAATACCGTATTATTTTTCTAGTGGAGACAAGGCCGTAGCTTATCTTAACCGATCAACTGTATTAAGAAGAGAGTCGATTGGTTCGTTTATAATGATGAAATAAAATAATTTTTGTTTTAATTTAAAGGAATTCATGTATTTTCTCGTCAACAAGCACTCGTAATGAATAGTGGAAAACCTGTTTATCTTCAATTTATGTTAATTGAAAATGGAAAATTATTTTATAATGTAAAGAGAAAAAAAGAAATTAATTGTTTGAAATAAATTTTTTTCTTTTAGTTGGATATTGTGGGAGAAAATTATGTTTCACCAAATGAAATAACAGATCAATGTCTGCTTACAGATATTAAACGCTTAATTGTTGATCCAACAGGTTTTCTATTCAATTAATTTTAAAAAATTATTTGAAACTTATAATTCTTTTAGATACATGGTTAGTTACATTTGAAGAATGTTCAATAAATTCAAATAGTGATGATCATCAATACGAAAGAAAACATACATTTTGGAAATTTAATTTAAATAATAACCAGTAACAAGTTTTTTTTATATTAATTTTAAAATAATTTTTCTTTTCTTTTTTAATTAAAGATTTAAATTAAATACAAGTGTAACATATACATATGGACAAGAAACATTAAATAAAATGTTATTTCATCCACATAAACTTGAATTGGCAACAATTGGAAACGATGGTTTTATTAAAGTTCGAAATTTTATTCAAAACCCTATTGCAAGTAAATATTTCAGTACTTTTTAATAAAGAAATAATCGACAAGAGAGAGAGAAACAGATATTTCATGATTTAAACTTTAGTTATGAAAAGAAGACGATTATTTGACTATTCCATGAGAAATATTCGATCGAAGATTATTATATTTTTGTGATGTGTTGACAATAGTGATAGTTATTTTCATATTTCATTTGTTTCCTTTGGTCAAATTAAGTGAGCCAAACTTTTCGTGAGCATAAATCGCTACAGTGAAGTGAATGTAAAAAAATACAAAACGTATCGATTGTGACGATTTATGCTCATGAAAACTTTGGGTCACTTCATTTGACCGTTTCCTTTCTGTTCTTTCCTTTCGTAGAATGAGTCATCACTATATATATATCAATGTATATATATATTTGCTTTTTCTGAAAAAGCTTTCGTAACTGTTGTTTGTTTCGTTTCGTCTATCTTTTTTCTTTATTTCTGTTCTTTCCGTCAATAAATAAGCTATTGACCTTGACCTTATTGTATTACGCAATTGATAATACAATATTTCTTCTGAATTACGAGTTAACTTAAATACATGACATATTAAGAGTAAAATCTCTCTATAATGTGCATTTTTAGAAAATCTAAATCGTATTTACTATAGAGCAGTTAGATCTTTTCTAAGGCAACGCTTTCGTATACGAAATAAATATGTTTTTTAAGCAGTTGATGAGCACTATTGAACATGACAGAAAAACATACACAAATATATTTTACGAACATTATTAGATTTTTCAAAAATATTCATCAGATAGAATTATATGACGATGTACATTATAAAGAAGTTCATTTCCAATAAAAACTGCTTTGTCATATCTTGAAGTGCTCATTATGAAATTTTTCAGTATGTTTTTCAAAGCATTTTATTGTCTTTTAATAATCCAACTCATTCATATTCATTATGAATTGCAAAGACGATCGAATAATAAACAAGATCTATGCTATGAAAAAAAATTGTCAAATAAAAAAACAATATTTAAAATAAACTTTGTTTTATAGAACGTGTACCACATTAGCGTTGTTTATCTGGTTATACTTATGGGCTATATTTAAGTAATGCATTATGTTATTATAAATTATCATCATCAGTTAAAATAAAATTATGTTGTTCATTTGAAAATTTGGTAACCGTACGGATTGATACAATAGATGATATAACTGAAGAATCTGGTCATGAATATTCCCGTTGTTTTGCTCATAATGATCGAAAAAATCCAGTTGAATGTATTCAATCATCATCAGATTAAATTCTTGTTTGTCATAAAAGTTTTATCATAAAACTTTAGTTAATTTATTTAATTGTTTAAATGGGCAATTTATTAAATCATTTTCATGGCATGTTCATGCTTTAGCCAAAGATCTAAGATCATCAATTATTGCTCTTTTTGATAAAAGTTTTCGTAAGTTTTACATTTTTCTGTATAAAAGACAATTTTCTTTTCTTTTAGTTCATTTTTATTCATTTTCTGATGGAAAATGTCATTCACGTAAAAGTTCATTATTTCGTCGTGTTACATCAGTTACATATATTGCAAATGAAAAATCATCTGCATTTGCTCCACTTCAACATTCGACATTAATTTTTTATATTCCACAAGAAGTAAGAATAATTCATTTAGCATAACCTTATACGGATGAAGAACATTTGAAAAGTTTATTAAATCTCTACAAAATTAGAAGATGATATTTTTTGAGTCAAGAAAAGTGAGCTCGAAATTTTGAGTTAACATCTTTCTAGTTTTTGAATAATTCTATTTCATAGTTGCGTATCTATTTTTTTTATGTGTCATCAGTTACGCTTTATTCAACACTCCGAGAAGAAGCTATTAAACATGGAATTAATGAATCACAATTTAAAATTATTGTCTCATCACAAGAACTTCTAAATTTGATGTGTGTTTTAACAACTTATTTACTCACTTGTTTTTCGATGTTCGTTGGTTAGATGAAAGAAGAACAAACTATTTATCGAAATAAGGATTTCGAATTGAAAGTTTTTGCTAACGGTTCGAGTATCAGAATTTCGAATTGACGATGCGTTAGAATAACCTGTGTACGGAGAAAACTACATCGAAATATAGGTTTTGCTCTAATAAAGACGACACAGAAACATTGATTTATTTGAAAATTTTTCATCTTAATTAGACAATTTACGTACTAAGTCTGACGATTCTTCGAAACATCATCCATAAAGTATTGTTTAGACAGAATACGGTATTCAAAGAGATTCAATGATCATCTTGAAAATACATTTAATAGTGAACACCTCCTAATCATAAACACTTTCCTAGAGACAAAAATATCTTTGTATCATATGATTATATCACTATTCGGAAAAAATATTTCCATTTTTTTTCCTATTAGAACCATTCTCATTTAAACAGGTATCAATGTTTTTTCATCTGTCTATTATAAACTACGAATAAGTTTACAGTATATAAATGATTTAGTAAATGCACGTAGAACGAGGTGAATGATCTTATCACATGAGTTTACTTTGTCAATAACTTTTCAAAATTTGAACAAAACAAAATTTTGTGTTGGAATTGAAACTCTTTCGATTAAAATCTTTTGAAGAAACATAGATAAACCAGAGATTTTTTTTAAAGATCCATTCATAAGAATATATTCTCAAATTCTTTTCAGATTCCTGAATAAACTATATTTCATGTTTGTTTTGTAGAAAACGTTAGATCAAACGGGAAAAGTTCGTCATGTAATTTATTTTCTTGCTGTTGCTAAACCAGCATCAATCAAAGTTCCACAAGATAAAAAAACCTATTCAATTTATTCATTTAAATCAATTAGAAGAACAAGGATAAAATGTACATATTGGTAATGTCTCTTCATTATTTTCATTTATTAATTTTCTTATTTAGATGAACAAACTTTGAATAAAAGACTGGGAAAACAAGATATTGCAGTTATTATGCATACAAGTGGAAGTACTGGAACACCAAAAGGTGAAATTGAATTTGATAAAAAAAAGTCGTTTATCCCTTTTTAAAGTCGTTCAATTTAATGATGAGTCTATTTTATGTATATTTTCAAGATTGAATCATTCACTCGCTGATCAGGTTTTCAATGTCAGAAGTCTCAGAATCTAGAGAAGTTAGTCTTGCATAGATCGCTCTCTCAAATATGTATTCTAACAGAACGTTTTCATTTACAGTTGATCACTGCTTGATTATTTAATTTTAATTAAGTTATATGTCCTAGAGTGTTCTGTAATGTAATCAAGGCCATTGACTTGTAGGATAAACAGTGATCTACTAGATAAATTAATTGTTCTGTTTTTAAGGCTTTGCTACAACTGTAGAAAATCTGTTAGGCGGTTCTGACGTAATTTCATCAATAAGTAATATTTCCATGACAGCATATGATGAAGCATCTCAATATTTCCTAGCATTATGTCTTCTTCGAGAAATGGTTCAAATCTGGTTCCAAGATATTCATTCATATGCAAATATATTTGCTGATATGTAATTAGATCATTTCTATCGCTGGTTGCACTCAACAAAAAAGTCTTCTTTACCAACCAGCACTTAAACGTACCATTCAAGTTTTTATGAGGAAATTATTGTAAATAATTCTTTCCGATTCTCTTTTGAAATACAACGATTGCTTTTAGTGGACAATTACTTGTTGAATTACAACTTATTGGTAGTACAACAATCTATTGAAATTTAGATAAGATTATCTCAGTAATCAAACGTTGCTCATTGACTTGATACATGTTTATATATTAAAGTTATTCTTAAATATCTTCAATTGAAAGATTTAACATTAACAGTATGTTTGGAATTAAAATCTATTTATCATTGTTTATGGTGTTTTGATGATAAAAACTATTGTGGATTTCGTATATGGTCAAGTGAAACAGAACAAATTGATGATAATAATGATAAAGAAGAAGCAGTTTTTTTTATTGGAATATGATTGTTTATTTAGAAGGAGCTGTTCAAGATTACTTTGAAACAAGCATATCAGCAGATTTTATTTATTTACAACAATTCGATAGAGTAAGTTTTCAATTTAAACCAATGCTGTACAAATCAAATTTGATTTGTATTGAGAATATCCTCAATAAAAGTTTTTTTTAGCTAGATACAAGAATGTTGAGTTAATTGATTTTTATGTTTCGAGTAGAGTAGTAACTGTTGTGTTGGACACGATGAAGCTTAATCCAAATGCACCAAATCGATTTGAAATGATCTTATAACTAGATCTGAATTGATAATGAAAGAGATTTTAATGTTTGACAGATATGAATATTTGCACTGGCATACTAGCAGAAAAATCATGTCAATGAAAGTGCTATAATTTGTGAGAATCATTCTAACAACAGAAACACATTTATTTTGATAAAACTTCCTCAAAATATTCTAAGAGCAACTAAAGCTATCTGTTAGAGTAACTTTAAATGAAAATTTTTGAATTGAACGTTTTCAAAAAAATTTGACTATAGGTCTAAGGTTTAGTAAAACTTATTTGTAATTTCTTTTCCTAGAATATCTTAGCCAGCTGTACTTTTAAGATTTTCTTAATCTCATTCATACCTATTTCTACTCATGAGACAGAATAACAACTTGTGAGAAGTTAAAACGATTCTCATCTGTATTGTACAAAGTTTATTAAAAATGATTCTTCTCTAACCGAGAATGTGATCTAATCAAATCTATTGAAAGAAATCGAATTAATTTAATTCTCTTGGACTTTCGCTTAGAATAATGCTCTGAATTAGCTCACAAAATATCAACGAAAATGACATGGATCAGTCGGAGTTTTTTCTTCGTCAAGCGGTTTAATCTAGTTTTACTAAATTTAAACTGTATATTTGACTATAAGTCTTAGTTAGTAATCTGTACGGATGTTCAAAGATAGTAAAAAATCATAAAATTTGAAAGGTTTCAAATGTTATTGAATCTGCTTTTTTCTCATGACATAATGACTCACAATGAAGATAAAAATACTATTTGAAATGAGCAACATACATGAGTAAAGAACGAAAATATTTTTTATCTAATCTTTCATTTTCAACATTTGTTTCAATACATGTTTAATATTTGTACGTACAGAATAAATAAGTAACCAATCTGATTGATTGTAAGCTGTATATGATACTTTTTATTTTCTCTTATGTCGAGGTATATAGAACGTGGCTATTTTGTATTCTTTCTTTCTCCTTGTCTGCTAAGATATGTATGTTTAGTTAAAATAGCTTTAACATCGATATCCATATCATCTCAACATAGGCGGCTAATTTTGTTTATGTATGATTCTAACATTATTTATTATTCTTGCAGATTCGACAAAATTTTAAACAATTAAAATGGCAACAAATACGAACAATAACATATTCATCCAGATGGCACAATCAGCGCAAGAACGATTAGGTAGAACAGACTTCGTTTATCCATTAAGTTGTGTTTTTGAAATATCTTGACCCAATAAAACTACAAATAAATATAAAGCCATTTATGAACGTAGAATTACAGTACAAACTGGTACTCTTAATGATGGAGTTAATCTTCGTTTAAGTATATTAACTCGGCAACACCTACATTATCGTCTTTCCGCAACTGCTGAAGATGGTCAACATATTCGATTTAAATCAATTACATCGATTACACTCAATCAAAATGGAACAATAAATGAAAACAATGATCGTCATTTAAATACAGTTCTGCTAAAGATCGCAGATTGACGATGATATTATTGCATGCAAAGTAAACAGTTGATCTTTATGTTTTTAAAAAAGTAAAACTTCGAAAAAATATTTCATTTATTTTCATTTACATATTTTGAACAATAGCATTGAACTGCTTTACTTTGAATAATAACTGAAGAATATACATATATATATATATACAATAAAAGAGAAGTAAATTCTGCGAAAACACATTCAATAACAGTAGATGTTAATGTTTTCTGTTTTTTTTTTCTTTTATTATAACTAATTTGTTGAGAATGAAAGAATGAAATGTCAGAAAAAAAATTCGTCAAAGGAAATGAACGGAATATGTCATTAAGATCAAGGTCCCAAAAAAAGACTGAAAAAAATAATACGAATTAAAAGCGAATTAACTAATATAATTTCCGTTGTTACGTAGAAATACACCAATCACGTTGCTTAATTCAACTTTAAGTTAATTCATTTTTTTGTCTATCTATTTGACCCCTAATGAACTTTAATTCATTTTCAACCGTCTAGTCTGTTTTGGGAGCATTGTCTTTATGAATATATATAACTCAGTATGAATATACAATAGAAAAGAAAAAAGAAACATGAGCGTTAGTTCATTCGAAATTTTACCTGACGATATTCTTTATGAAATTTTTCGTTATTTATCTCCAATTGATGTGCTTCAATCATTTTTATTATTGAGTAAACGTTTCTCAAGAGTGATAAGAAATGAATATTTGTGGCATATTCATATTGGTGATTCAACAATGTCATTAATGATGTTCAATAATCATTGTCACAATATCTTGAAATTAATAGGAAATCGCATTGTCTCATTACGTCTGACATTAATCAATGTTATCGGTGGATGGTCACTTATTTCATCTGCTCTTCAATATCATCGAACAGGATTGCTTCAACGTCTACACTTGATCGACATTAAACCACCTGAATTTGATAAATTATTGCGCAATCATTTCATAAAACAATTACATACTTTATTAGTTGATGTGACACCTTTTAATCCGTTTAATTGTCTTCAAGTTGAAGGAATTTATTTAGCTAAGGTAAAAAAATTACTACTTCCTTCTATTCATTTTAGAATTTGTCTTCATTTTTCATTAAAATAATTTAAATATAATAAAGTGAAAAATCTAAGTTTTTTATTTATTTAATTAAAGGTATGTTCACGGCTGCCTCTTCTAAGAATCTGTCGACTTCCATTTAATCATAATGACGACAATGTTAATCAAATAGAAACCTATTTATTAAGATATCACATAACTTTATCAAATTTATTAAATACAAACCATCTTCGTACATTGACTATTGGTATACATACATCACACTTTCTCGAACGCTTACTATTATGTATACCATTGATTGAGAATCTTTCTTTTGGAATAAGAGATCGAGATATCAGTGAGAATGATGTATATGATAGAATCACGTAAGTAACGTACTATCATATGTAAATATATCCGTTATATGAATTGTTTTAGGTTGCCTGTCAGTATTGATGCTCATCTTCTTCAGTATCTATCTCGTCTGCGTATACATTGCTTGAATAACATAAGTTTTCATCGAACAATTGCGCTTTTATCATCTATATTTAGTCAACTTTGCCATTTGTCATTAAAATTAGAAGCAGATACATTAACTTATGGTTCATTGATTATATCAGGTGATATTATTCAACGATTATGTATCGATCGTCTTAAACCAATGGCAACCTATAGTCTTAATTTGTTATTATATGTTGAACATGACTTGGAAGAAAAAATAATTTTCAATTCATTTTTTCAAGTTCCATTTACTCAACGACAAAAACCAAAGGTTTTTATACAAGAATGCAATGATTCCGGTGGAGGTAATGCATATCATTATTTTATGGTATATACTCTTCCATATAATGACACAATTCTTTTATCAGAGATGCTTTCTAAAGATCTTGAAAAGTATATCGAAAATATTTAGTTGTATAAAAGATTAATATGAAACTTTTTCTTTTATTCTGTTTAGATCTTGTCAAAAGTCAAATGATGTAACAAATTTATTTCCACGTGTTAATACATTAGCTCTATCTGGTTATAAGAAGATCAATCGTATTCGAGATCTTGGCAAATCTGGATGTTCTATATCATCGTTAGTTCCTTGGTCGTTATTAACACACATTCAAATAAATCATAGTGATGTTATTACTCAACATACATTACAGTCATTATTACGGCTAGCTTATAATGTACATACACTAGAAATAGTTGATGAGAGAGGAATTTTACTTCGCACGATATTGTATAATAAAGATAATTTTGGAACTCGTATCAATCAACAAGTAAGAGATTATATTTTAAAAGAAAAATATATCAAAGATATTATTTTTTCTACAAATTTAATTTTTTTAATATGTAAATTTCGTTTTAAGTAATTCTTTTTCTATAATATATTAAAATTTGGAATGTATCAGATACTTAAAATCTATTTTCATTTTCCTACGATAAATTATATTTTTTTATTGATTAGATAAAATCACTGAAGATTTACGATGCATCATGGACATTACAAAATATTCAACGTTTTTGCACATTATTGTCGAATCAATTTCTTAACTTAAAAACATTTTCATTTGCTATATGTGATTCATATGAACATTGGCGATGGAAACCATCTCGAATTAATGATGGAAAAAACAAATTTACAAAGCGTATTGTTAATCTTATTTATTTCCTTGTTGATCATTTACAACAACTTGTTTGGCTTCGTATAGACTTTTGTAATATATTTCATTCTGATACACCTTGTTTTCCACATTTAATTCGACGACAACTACATCAATATCCACTCAGTCGACCTTGTCGCTTACGATGTTCTACTGATATTATTCAAATCTGGCTGTAATAATACACTAATTATGTTAGAAGAACTTTTTATGATGAGTTCTTCATCATGCATTGGAATACTAAATAAAATATTAAAAAAAAACATGTTAAGTTGTTTTTTTGTACAAAGCGTTGAGAAAACTGCAATTTTTTCTTGTTTTTTTTTTCCTGGCAAGTAAAAATTGAAACTTCGAAATGAAACTAATTTTTAATTAAATTTAACGGTGTGAGGTATGAGATGTTGAATATGGCTGCTGTTGTGGTTGGTGTTAAAATGTTTGATAATCGGACACCTACAATCAACAAAAAAAACTCGCTCTGAGTAAAACATAACTATTGTTTTTTAGGTAACATTTCTGGATGAATCCTAGCAAGGATTACTCGTTTTTTGTTTTCAGATTTAGATTTATTTGGTTATAAATATTCATGCTTCGCACTGCATTTAGCTTTTTCTTCAATGATATGTCTAAAGTCAATACTTTATGTTATGTGTTGGTGAACAAAATGGTCTTATCAATGTTTAGGATTATGAAAATGGAATTCTTATTCACATAAAATTTATTTTCAAATATTCACCGTGAAATTTGATTCAATCTTAAAATTTGACGTCATAGATAAATTAACAGATATATAGATATGAACAAATATGTCTAAGCTTCATGGTTTTTAAAGTATCTTATATTTGAAGAACTGATAACAAATGTTTAGTAGCATAACTAAATCTATTTCTAATGATTTATTTAAACAATAAAACTTGAAATAGAAGTGATTCATTTATGTTCAAATTACTAATAATGGTTTATATGGATTTGTGAAGAATACTAAAAATAGTAAAATAAAAATGAATTGAAATGAAATATTGTTTTAATATTTAACTTTATTCATTCAATCAAATTAAATCCGTTCGTTATAATTGTTCACCTAAAATTTTATTTGATAAACTTCTATCTATACCAATATGTATTTCATTTGATCAAAAAGTAATTCTTTTAAAAATTCTATCGATTTTAAACTAAAAAAAAATCTATTTACAATGAATATTGTGTATTTATTAATATTAATGGAACAATAATTAATTTATTAAATGAAACAGGTCATGCAGAAAATATGGTTCATGATTCTCAACGTGAATGAAAAACAAAACAAAAAGAAATATCCTAAAAAGAAGAAATATGAAAGTGAATAGAATTGTTTAGCTCCTGTTGCCTATGTTGAATCAGTTATGGAACGTGTATCACATTTTGAAGATAGTGATTCAGATACATTTGCATGATTAAGATCTAAATTTCTAACATCACAACCTGTGTATTTAAATTCACAAGAGAATCTTATTTATGATTTTAATCAAAATCATTTTTATGATTCTCAATTACAATCGAATTTTAAAATGCTTAAATCATTAAGTAGACATTTATAAATTGATTCATTTTCTTCATTAACAATTCCAACAGATAAAAAAGTCTTTTCTTCTATAAAAAAAAAACAAATTTTACATAAATAACTTTATTAGAAATAGTTCACATCTGCTTTTTATCAAATTAAACTTCATGACTTTTTCTTTCCATAGATCAAAGAACTTGAATTATAATTTTTATTACTTATATCAATAATTTTGTCATGTGGTTAAACAAAATCATATAAATAGTCAACTTTTTCATCAAAGAAATTTGCTTTAAAAGTTATTTATATACTTATTTGTTCATATATGATTAAAATCTCTTGTATTTCTTACATGAGAAAATAATCATACTAAATGTAAAAGTTGGAAAAAGAACAAAATTTTTTCTAAATCGAGGATTAGTGAGATTAAATTGTAATGATTGCAAAAATCCTTTATATGTCATAAAAGAAATCCTTAAAAATATCTGCCTCTGCCGCACCACGATAACATTCGATTTTATTTTTTGGATCATGATACAAAATAAAGACATAAGATTATATTAGCAATTGTTTTCTACAACAATTTACTCGTTTTCATAGACGACTAACATTTTCTGTGCTTTACCTGATTTTGTAAGAAAAAAATTATACTTTACACCAGAGATTTTTATTCAGATAATAATAGAACAAAATTAAACTACCAATAAAGGAAAGTAATGATAAACATATTCTGGATAAACTATCGAGCGTTCAACAATTAATCGTTTCACTCTACCACAGTTGAGTCGCATTTCATCTCTTGAAAAATTTTCTGTTACCTGTTTCAAATCGCCATAGTTAACTTTTAATTTTGTTAAACAAGGTAAACGTGTTTTTGTTTCATTAAGAAAATGTTCAATATAATAAGGATTTGCACGTTCCACGTCAAGAGAAATAAGATGTAAGTATTCAATAATAGAGCACCAGTCTTTATCCCGAAGATAACGTTCGTGAAAACGTCAAAATGGCGATCAAATGTTTGAAATAAATCAATTTTTAAGAAATGAAAAAGCTCGAGCAAGTTGAACAAAAAATTCGTGTTTGAATGCATGTTCATCCTGTAATTTTAAATGAGTAACAGAAATAAATACAATATTTGGTATATTATTTGTGATGCCTTCGAGGCGATTATATTTAGTTGGAAGTGAAAATATGCGATATACTACATTGTAACGGTCAAAATAATCCACCATACAAGCCACTTGTCGATATTTTATATTTGTGAAAGTTCGTTGAATATCATCAGCAGATATACGAACAGCTGGATCAACAATTATATAAATAGAGAATCGATATAAAATATGAATGTATGGAGTTGTCGCATATGAATCAGAATTTCATTATCAAGATGAGTACCAGAAATGAATGTGGATCCACCATAGATATGAAGAAATAAGGTTAATTCTTCGAGATGTGACATTCGACGAAGTAGAGGTAAAACTGTGATGTTATAGTCTTGAGTAAGCTTGCTCTATGTTAATGAGAAACATTTTAAATTAGGTAGATCATCCTGAAAAAAAGAAAGCATTATTTATAAAATTATCTTTATCATTTGAGCTAAGAAATAAATTTATATTAACTATGAATTAATAGATATTAATCATCTTCGAAATGTTTCTTTTATTCTATGAAATATGTATTCTCTAGTAAGAATGATTACTTTGTATTCGTTAAGTTCTAACGCATAGAAACTAATGAATAATGCAACAAAACCATCAAATATTATATAAGAATGGATATTCTTAACATTTTTCAAAGCATTCGATAACATTCATTATATAGATGTTACCAGAAAAATTATTTGTGCAGAAAGTTAATAGGTCTTTCAAATACTAAGTATGATCCTTTAAACAGTAAAAGATAATGAATCTTAAAAGAAAACTTGCCTGATTAAAATTCATGTTGACAACAACTTTTTTCAAAATCCCTTTTAACATAGATAATTAAGTTCAATATAATTAATAGAAAAGATATAAAACAAAAAAATTCCGAACAACGTCAAAAAAATCTATAACAATCTATTTCTAATGATTTTCTGATAATCAAAATTAAAACATTATAATTACTAATGCAGAAATCTCATTGTTCATTGCACTTCTTATTAAAGTTTATTCTATCTTCATTATTAGTTAAAAAAACAATAATAACACGGAGCATAAACTCATCATGCTGTACGATGTTGATATTGGTTTGCTGATAAATTCAACTTGAACGATGAATATAGTTAATTATTTGAGATGACCATCAAGTAAAGCATAAATGTCATTTAATTGACTTACATTAATGCATAATTTAGTAAGTTTCGACGAGAAAAAAGTTATTGATGGTAATTTATACAATGATAAACATGGATAACTGATCATCGATCTTCTTTAATTTTCGGTAGATGATACAACAATACTCAAATGCTTTAGGTTTTCAAAGAAAGTTAAGATAATTTCATAAAAATTATGGGTATACTCCTCTGGTGTTAGTTCAATGTTGTTTTCATTGCTGATAAGAATGAGATTCGTAATTTGTTGTTTATAATTATGTCCAAAGAGAGAGTCATCTAAACAAAATACATAAGTGTTGTTAAATGTGAGCATCTCAACATTTTTTTATGCTAATCATTTTTTTTTGTTAAAGATCAAAACACATGAATATCTTACCCAAGAAATAACGTGAAACAATAGCTTTGTTGAAATTATAAAGTTTAAGTTCAGTAAAATTAGGATAGTTATCAGCACGAAGAATACATTCCATAGAAACTGATTCGACAGTTAGAGATTTAACATTTTCATGAATTCTTGGTAATATATCAACACAAAATCGATCAAGTATTGAGTCAGAAATTGAAGAAATCTCATCAGTTGATTGTAATNAGGATTTAACGGACTTGATAGAATCGATTAATTGTCTCAATAGAATTGTTATTTACATGATCAAGCTCAACTTATATTTGTTTTCGGTGACCGAATTCTTTCGGCGAAAATAGAATCGGTGAACTTTTTTTTCGGCGAATTTCCTTCGGTGAAATTTTCTTTTCGGCGAAATTCGTCTTCGGCGAAAAATTTTTTCGGCGAAAATGGACTAAATCAACATATTCGATTTAAATCAATTACATCGATTACACTCGATTATGATGGAACAGTAAATGAAAAGAATGATCGTCATTTAAATACAGTTCTGTTAGAGATCGATGATGGACGATGATATTATTGCATACAAAATAAACAGTTGATCTTTTTTTTTTATGTTTTTAAAAAAATAAAACTTTGAAAAAACATTTCATTTATTTTCATTTACATTATTTTGAACAATAGCATTGAATTGTTTTATTTTGAATAATAATTGAAGAATATAGATAGATATAAAATAAAAGAGAAGTAAATTCTGCTAGCACACATTGAATAGCAGTAGATGTTGATGTTTTGTGTTTTTTTTTCTTTCATTAAAATTAATTTGTTGAGCATCATTGGCGGGTCGAACCATAATTTTCAGGGGAGGCAATAAACACTTTTTCGCTTAAAAACGCTTGTTTTCATGGCGTTCTTCTTAAGTCCCAGCCGAAAAATTTTTTTTAGGGGGGCAATTGCCCCCTCTCGCCCCTATGCCGGCCCGCCCATGTTGAGCATGAAAGAGTGAAATATCAGTAAAAAAGATTCATCAAAGGAAATGAACGGAATATGTGATTAAGATCAAGGCCCCTAACAGACTGAAAAAAATCAGACGAATTAAAAGTGAGTTAACCAATATAATTTCCGTTGTTACGTAGAAACACCAATCACGTTGCTTAATTCAACTTTAAGTTAATTCATTTTTCTCTGTCTGTTTTACCCCTAAGTGAACTTTAATTCATTTTCAATCGTCTAGTCTGTTTTGGGGGCATTGTCTTAATATGAATATATATAACTCAATATGAATATACAATAGAAAAGAAAAAAACAAACATGAGCGTTAGTTCATTCGAAATTTTACCTAACGATATTCTTTATGAAATTTTTCGTTATTTATCTCCAATTGATGTTCTTCAATCATTTTTATTATTGAGTAAACGTTTCTCAAGAGTGATAAGAAATGAATATTTGTGGCACATTCATATTGGTGATTCAACAATGTCATTAATGATGTTCAATGATCATTGTCACAATGTCTTGAAATTAATAGGAAGTCGCATCGTCTCATTACGTCTAACATTAATCAATGTTATCGGTGGATGGTCACTTATTTCATCTTCTCTTCGATATCATCAAACAAGATTGCTTCAACGTCTACATTTGATCGACATTAAACCACATGAATTTGATAAATTATTGCGTAATGATTTCATAAAACAATTACATACTTTATTAGTTGATGTGACACCTTCTAATCCGTTTAATTGTCTTCAAGTTGAAGGAATTTATCTAGTTAAGGTAAAAAACTACTACTACCTTCTATTCAATATAGAATTGTCTTTATTTATCTTAACAAATATTTTAAATATAATAATGTAGAAAATCTAATTTTTTTATTTATTTAATTAAAGGTATGTTCACATATGCCTCTTCTAAGAATCTGTCGACTTTCATTTAATCATAATGATGGTAATGCTAATCAAATAGAAACCTATTTATTAAGATATCACATGACTTTATCAAATTTATTAAATACAAATCATCTTCGTACATTGACTATTGGTATACATACATCACACTTTCTCGAACGTTTACTATTATGTATACCATTGATTGAGAATCTTTCTTTTGGCATAAGAGATCGAGATATCAGTGAGAATGATGTACATGATAGAATCACGTAAGTAACCTACTATCATATGTAAATGTATCTGTTATATGAATCGTTTTAGGTTGCCTGCCACTATCGATGCTCATCTTCTTCAATATCTATCTCGTCTGCGTATACATTGTTTGAATAACATAAGTTTTCATCGAACAATTGCGCTTTTATTATCTATATTTAGTCAACTTTGTCATTTATCATTAAAATTAGAAGCAGATACAGTAATTTCTGGTTCATCGATTATATCAGGTGATATTATTCAACAATTATGTATCGATCGTCTTAAACCAATGGCAACCTATAGTCTTAATCTATTATTATATGTTGAACATGACTTGGAAGAAAAAATAATTTTCAATTCATTTTTTCAAGTTGCATTTACTCAGCGACAAAAACCGAGAGTTTTTATACAAGAATGCAATGATTCTAATTGGAGTCCTAGATATCATTGTTTTATGGTATATACTATTCCATATAATGACACAATTCTTTTATCACACATGTTTTCTACAGATCTTGAAAAGTATATCAAAAATATTTAGTTGTATAAAAGATTAATATGAACCTTTTTCTTTTATTCTGTTTAGATCTTGTCAAATGTCGACTGATGTAACAAATTTGTTTCCACGTGCTAATACATTATCTCTGTGTGGTTATAAGAAGATAAATCGTGTTCGAGATCTTGGCAAAACTGGATGTTCTATATCATTGTTAGTTCCTTGGTCATTATTAACACACATTGAAATCAATCATAGTGATGTTATTACTCAACATACATTACAGTCATTATTACGGATAGCTTATAATGTACATACACTAAAAATAATTGATGATAGAGGAATTTTAGTTCGCATGATATTGCATAATAAAGATAATTTTGGAAGTCGTATCAATCAACAAGTAAGAAATTCTATTTTAAAAGAAAAATCTCTCAAAGACATTATTTGTTCTGCAAATTCTTTTGATTGATGTATAGCTTTCGTTTTAAGTAAATCTTTTTCTACAATTTATTAAAATTGAAATGTATCAGATAACTAAAATCTATTTTCATTTTGCTACGATGAATTATATTTTCTATTGATTAGATAAAATCACTGAACATTTATGATGCATCATGGACATTACAAAATGTAGAACGTTTTTGCACATTATTGTCGAATCAATTTCCTAATTTAAAGACACTTTCATTTACTATTTGTGATTCATATCGTCACTGGCAATGGAAACCATCTCGAATTAATGATGGAAAAAACAAATGTACAAAACGTATTGTTAATTTTATTTATTTGCTTGTTAATGATTTACAACAACTTGTTTGGCTTCGAATAAGCTTTTGTAATATGACTCATTCTGATACACCTTGTTTCCCACATTTAATTCGACGACAACTACATCAATATCCACTTAGTCGACCTTGTCGCTTACGATGTTCTACTGATAGTATTCAAATCTGGCTGTAATAATACACTAATTATGTTAGAAGAACTTGGTATGATGAATTCTTCATCATACATTGGAATATAGTAAAATATAAAACAAAACATGTTGCGTTGTTTTTGTTAATAAAGCGTTGAAAAAACTGCAATTTTTTTTTGTTTTTTTTGCAAGTAAAAATTGAAACTTTGAAATGAAACTAATTTTTAAGTGAATTTAACGGTGTGTGGGTATGAGATGTTGGGTGTGGTTTTGGTTTTGAATGTGGCTGCTGTTGTGGTCGGCGTTAAAATGATTGATAGTCTGACACCTACAATCGACAAAAAACTTGCTTTGAGTAAAACATAACTATTGTTTCGAGGTAACATTTCTTGATAAATCCTAGCAAGGATTACTCGTTCTTCGTTTTCAGATTTAGATTTATTCGGTTATCAATATTCATGCTTCGCACTGCATTTTGCAGTCGAGTGATACTCGAATGCATTTAGCTTTTTGTCCAATGATATGTCTAAAGTCAATACTTCTGACGCGATGATCTTGAAAATAGCATATTGTCTGATTCTCGTTGACACTTCATTAGAGACATTAAGATTTTAATAGGGTACAAACTTTATTCATTTTTACTTATGATGTTTCGTTTAGTAAAAGTAAAATCTGGATATTATTAATAATCTATAGATTTTATTTTCATTATGTCGATAGAATGACAACGAGACTTTGCACTAACCCAGCAATTATTCATTATGGCCAGTACTAATGATAATTAGTCGATGGATAGTTGTCAAAAGGCTCCCTAACAGGGTAAACATGCTTGCCTTCTATCCTGTCCTGATACTAATTCAGAAATCGTCTTCTTACTCTGTCCTTTTGTTATACAGGACACAGCGAGGTGACGGCATTTTTTGAAACCTTTTTTGAGTATACGATATACTATAGTCTTTCTTTGTTTTCTGACCTTCAGAAATAGTCTAATATATGAGGAATAGGAATACTTTTCTTTTTATAGTGATCAATGATAATTTCAGGCAAAAAAGATAAGTAATCAAACAAAACAAAGACAATAGTAAGTAGATAGAGCGCAAGCCGTATGAAGAAACTAGATTAAAATCGCTTATTATTTTATTAAAAATCGATCAAAATGACACGATTTTAATATGATTACAGTCATTTTTGACATACAAAAAGGCAGATTTCCTTGACTTTTTCAAATCGATTTGATTCGATGAAACCTTACGATCGAAAAAATCAGAGAAATCGGTGTACCGATATTGATATCGCTCTCTCAATGATATATGGTCAAGTACTCTTTCTTCTTCTTTCCTTCTGTTCTTATCTTCTCTCTATTCGTCTTTATGCTTACCTCCTTTCTCTCTCATATATAAGCGTGTGCTATATGTGAAGTGGCGACATTTCTGGATATATTGAGTAGTCAATAAACATCATAGCGAGGGCAGCGGTAAAGCTACTCCGCCAATTTGTTGTTACAATTGGCTTCTGCATCTGAAAAAATCTCGATGTTAACGGGTGATTGATCCAGCAAATCAATGCTAGTGACGGCGCCAGAGGGAGACTCAGTCTCCCCAAAAACTATGTGAGCCCACCACTCACAGAATTTTTAAAACTCTCGCAAAAAACTGATGGTTTTTCTCTGGGAAAGAAAGATTTAAGGAGCTGAGCTCCTCCAGCCAAAAATCTGGGAAGGCTCAGTTCCTCCCTTTTCCGACTAAAAATCCTGGCACCGCCTCTAATCAATGCTGAACTACTTCCTTTATTGCCGAAATGGTAACTATATATATGTCGTATATGAAGTTAACCTGTTTGTCGAATTTACAACTTTGACAAGTTCAAACATCACCGAACTTGTAACTTTGATAAGATAGATCATCGAGGATTTTCGTAATGATAAAACTAGATAGGCACAGTTTGATACATAAATTATTTGTTGCTGTATGTTGCTCAATGATGACAGCGAGAACTATATAACATTTTTTCTTGTTCACATTTGCATCGGTTTGTTTTACAACCTCCCTTGTAGTCATATTGTAACATTCCTTGACGATCAGTAATGCTTTAAAGTCTGGTGATTTCTCATAATGATTTGAGTTCTTCTTTTGGAATATCTTGTAAATCCAATGTTGATATACCACGGGCTTTAGAAAATTAATTAAAGGCAAAATAACCAGGTAGAATAGCACTCTCTATGCATTCACTTGGTATTAGTTATGCTTTACATTATATATAACGGTGATTCGACAGAACATCACATGGAGCATCCACGACCCACATACACACACTTTCTAATATCATAGGTTTACTAACGCTTCGTTTTTAACTCTAAAATGAGTGGCAACATTTTCTGCATGCGACGATTTGTCCTAGCACTTTTCTGTTGTCAAAGTTATTACTTCGACAAACAGTTTAACTTCGATACGATATATATGTGAATGAACTAGGGAAAAACCAAACACACTAGAAAGAAAACATGATAAGAGGAAAAATTCCTGAATAATATCAAGAGAAGAGAAATATTCAAGCGATAGAGAAAAAAGAAAACAAGAAGAAAAAGATATATATTTGTATTAGAGAACTGCGTGACCATTCCGTCGTGACCAAAAAAAAACAAAAATTCTTCGATAATAGTTTCCACGGTGGATGTGAAAAAATAATTCTGTTTGATGTTTTCTATTCAGAATTTTAAGCTCTTCAAAATGACACAAAAAAGTCGAGGATATAATGATCTGCGACGGAGAAAATTGCGGCTCATCCGCCGTG